CCCCCCTCTCGACTTTTTGTCACTTTGATGTTCCCCCTCCTCCTCTGTGAAGCCTGAAGTCAGCTAAAGGGCTAATGATAACTAACAAAATGCATGCCATTTGAAATAAATAAATAACTATCCCAATCTTACCGTGGGTCACCAGGAATGTGTTCAGAGAGATTTGTTAGAAGCAAAGCGACATTGAAACCGATATCACGTGCTGGATTATAGAATCTTTCAGTGAATTCTTGGAAGTCGATTTTACCGTCCGAATTAGCATCGACGCAGCCCATAATATAGTTGATCTCGTCACTAAAAAGGGAAAATTTGCTTCCAAATATCACTCCTTTTAAAAAACTAGACAAATCGAAAGGCGAATAAGCTTACTCGGTAAGTGATTTTTGCTGCTCCAAAGCGGTTCGAAATTCACGATGAGAAATCCAGCCATCTCTGTTTACATCAAATGCCTGTTAAGAGTGCACAAAGAAATTTAAAGCAATCTTTATTAGAGCCGATCAATAATTTAAGCCGAATTGACCTACCAGGAATGCATCAGAGTTAGTAATTTCTTTCATTCTCAAGAAGATGTCAAAGAATGTCAGAGTGAGCTAAAGAGACATGGAGTTACCGAATTAATAGCAAATATATATGAAATATATATATATATATATATATATATATATTTGAAATGAATCCTCTAACCTCAACGTTTGCAGAAGATTCAGCCAGTGTGTCCACCATTTGACGACCAATTGATCCATTGACAACATTGCCTTCCAACATTGACAGCAGCATAATCATCATCTCTGTCTGGAGATTAAGGAATTCGTGGAGGAGATCAAGTTGTTCAGGATCTTTGCTCAACTTATCTTGCATGTGGGCGAAGAGATAAAAGAACCCCGATATAGCATCCCACAGACGACTGTTAGCCAATGCGTGCTGATTTCCCTGGCATGGGCCCTAAAGTAAGATCAAGGAATATTTGGAGGATGTGAGAGAGTATAGATGCAAGTACTACTTATGTATGTCGTGAGTACTCACTTGAATATATTCAGTTAGAGTTCTAAATAGTTGCTTTCCGATCTTGATGGCCTTGATGAAGTTAGTTCTACCTGATTCATCGATAACAGGTTTGTTGGAGAAATGCCAGTAAAAATCCATGATTGATTCCTGTAAGCGCAAAAGGTAATCCACAGTACAAATAATCAAATTCACAGATGTGGTATTGCTTGATTGGGTTCGAAGATAGTCTTGGAAAGCTGCACATTAAAAAAGAAGCGAAATTAGCAAGTTTACGGACAGAGAACTGAGATAGGATAGGGTTGGGAGAAATTACCAGCGTTATGACCTTCGCACATGAGCTGTAGAAGACGGAATACCTTGCATGTGAAATCGGCATCGTAAAGATTTGTAATTCCCTCCATGTCAGATAGACCAACAGCCAAACCTTCTGCCTTCCGGCATCTGAAAAACAGATTGAATTCTTGTAAAAAGAGAATTAATCATGGAAACTTGAAGAAGGCTTGAAGGCTTTCCACCTTTCGAATGTATCGAGATCCAGAACAGAGCAGTTCTGCATGAGACCAGCCAAGCTGGTGAAGAAACCTGTCAACCGCTTTTCTGCAAGATATGCCAACATCCGGTTTTGTACTGCAACATTGCCCTCAAGAAGAATTGCAATTCCAAGTTCTACTGATGCCATAGCAACTGGTGTTGCTTCTCCTAGATGAATGAAATAGAATTTGTTTAATTTACTGGCTACTTCAATAGAGGGAAGTAGGAAGTTTTTTGTCACCTTTTGAAGCGGCTAACTGGAGGAGAACCATCTCAGCCGCACCGCGTTCAGCCAGACGATTCTGTTCGAAGAGCAGACGTTGCTTTTGTTCCTCCTGTTCCTGGGAAGATGGACCTTCTTCCTCCTCCTCTTCTTTGCTCTTATCATCTCCGTTTCCACCTCCACCGTTTCCACCATTATCGTCGTCATCGTCAGTTCCAGAGCAGCTCTGAATTAAAATAGCCACTAGTCAGTGTCATTGTCTACTAAGTGTTGACAATATCAACGGAGGCCTAACTGAATATCTTTTTACTGTACTCAATCGAACCACATAAAAGACCACTTTCGCGGACTAGATTACCTCTGCTGAATCTATCAACGACGCGGAACAATGTAATTAGACTTGGATTCGATGGATTTTTAGCTACTCCTTCTCAACGACTTCTACCAAAGAGCACTTACCTTGGCCATAATTTGTGCGAAAGCCAAGTACAATGGATCATCAGGCGCTTGGTCCATAGCCGTCCGACAGAGAGCAGTAAGTAACTGTCGCAGAGGATCTGGAGTAGCGCAGTAATCGGTCGCAAACACTGGACGACCAGAGCTATCGGCATGTCCACCGGCGTTCTTCCCTCCACTTGACTGTTCATTACTCAAAGCAGCTGTTGTAGCGCTTATTGCCGAGGTAGTAGTAGTAGCACCGGCACCTTCAGCACCAAGTTGCGAGACGTTATCTACAATCAGGAAATTGAGTTGACTCCAGAGTGAAGTATTTCCATTCATTCGTGTGGAGGCGCTAATTCGAATGATAATAGACTCCTGTTTTAGATTTCCTAATCACCCTTAACCCTTAACAGCTTCAGAGCCCCTTGAGGAAGGTAAGTAGAGTCATATTGATTGAAAAGGAAGGTATTCTTAATTGAAAATTCCAGCAAGATTGAATGATCCACCACGAAACATCAACAGACAATTGCTCCTGATAGAAGTGAATGTAGACCCACCAATGCCAAATGTACAACTATGGAGATTGACCAGACTTTTATCAAACTCAGTATAAACCAAACAAAAATCATGCTAGAACAATTTGATGCTGTTACATATTGCAAGAGTACCAAGTTGGGGTGACGCAAAAGGACAAAGATTTGAAGATGCATATGCACGATACCACTGCGGAAATCAAATCCAGTCAATTGGCATGTTTCCACAATTTATTGGCGGTCATATTCGGTACTTACAACTTTAAAGCAAAAAAAAATATATCAAGAGTATACCCTTTCGGTCCACCCCATGAGACCTCATTTATTTTGGCCAATCGGTGGTTTGAGCGAATTTAGGGGAGCTTTAAGAATAGTTGTAGCAGGAACTGCATACTTGGGGGTGGCGGGTGGGGGGGGGGAGAATTTGCAGTACCCGATTCAATTGGTTTTGTTTCGTACCCACACAACTCAATCCTCTAAAGTCAAGAGGCACCCCCCCCCCCCCCCCCCCCCCAACACNAGGGCCCCCCCCCCCCCCCACCCACCCACAACTGCTCCTCATTAGCGAGAACTGCTCCATTTTAGTTTGGTGAGTGTAGGCTCCTCCAAGAAAGCAGACACTTGATCCCACTTTGTTTAACTGAGCACATTTTGACTCACCATTTTGTGTTTATGATGCAATTATGCCATGTGAACAGAGTGGTTACAGCTTAACGCTAGGCAAGAACATCCCACCTTTACTATCATAATGGAACAATCAGTTAATCAGCCCACAATATCGTAGGCAAAACTATGGTCAAAACTCTTAGGACTGAGTAAATAAAAGACATTTTTTAACTTACTGCTAACTAATATCAGTTACTTTCCGGTAGTTGACTTCTAACTACCATGACCCAACTGTAGGTCATAGTCCACCACTTCCACAGTACTCATTTCAGCTTTTTCTCTATCATTGTGTCTGTCTGTCTGTCTGTCTCTTTCATATCTGTTAATCACTCTCTTCTGTTCCCCCTCTCCACTTTTGGGACTTTAATGCCCCCCCCCCCTCCCACCGTGAAGCCAGAGGTCAACTAAACGGCTGATAATAACTAGCATAAAGCTTACCAATTGATATAAATGAATGCTATGTTAGGGGTTTAATGCTGTCACAATATTATAGTATTTTTGTAATTATCTTCACTAACCCTCATCGGATGACTCAGAGTACATCGAGGCCTCCATGATTGCTCTAGCAATACTGGCCATCGCTTCAGTTTCTCCACCGGCACAAACGTTGCCCAACTCGCCTTGACCACCAGAACCATCAGAAGAACCACCAGGAGCGTTATCAGAAGGACTTGAAGGCAGCATTCCAGCAATCGGTGCAACCGAAGCCATAGTTGAAGCATTTAGAATAGCATTTTCCTCGAAGGGAGCGCCAGTGATTTCTTCAATCAATTGCACCCCCAACGATTGCTCGTAACTTAGCCAGCCATCATGATAGGCCATGAGGAAGAAATTGATTGCCCGATGTCGTGGAAGAGCGTAGAAGGGCTGCATTCGGAAGCAGGCCATTACGGCGCGTTTACGCTGAGTTGAAACGAGCTTTTTCCATGCGCCTAGATTAAGAGTTGCTGGCGCAACATGCTACCAAGGAAGTAGATAAGCATTTTGAAATCGAGTGCTCGAAAGGTTAGGCCACACACAAAAAACGATCAACTCACGCCGACTAGGTAGAGAGCATGCATGACCTTGGCTAAGGTCATGATACGATTGATCACCTCCTCCTTTGTAGGAATGTTAAGAGCTGCATGACAATCAGTTAACGCGATAGTTCTATCGATTTTCTGGTATAATAACTTCTGCCAACGATAGACTTTGGCTTCCGACTAAATGAGAGGTAAAAGTATTTCTCTTTTTCAATGCTTCAGTGTAATTAACTTTTTGCCATTTTGGATCATTGTTATCATAAGAGCGTTCCAATTAATCAACATAATCAAGCAGCTTATAACTAATAGCATTAAGAACGACATTAAGGAAATGTGAGAGAATTGATTTGAAGAAAAAAAGTATCACACAGCATGATTCTTGAAAGAAGGCCCATAGGGCACTCGAATACATCGCAATTGGCTGATAGAAGGCTACATTTTAGGCGAAAAATCAAGTCATTCAAAATGTAAGAGGAGTTTGGGACCATCTACACCAAAAAAAAGGAATGGAACTTAACTGACGCAGTTACTTACGAAAGATTAATACCATGCACAGGAATAGTAATATTTGTAATATTAAATATGGAATTGTAACTTACGTCATCATCTTTGTCCAATGCGTAGCGCAGATAATCCGCAATATCCGCCTCAACTTCATGCTAAAATGCGATTAAAGAGGCAACAGGGTGAAGAGATGGCACGAAATGTGATTGGCGGAGGGGGGGGGTGGTG